TACACTGTCACAAATCGATACCAAATTTTCAATGCGTGCTACAATAAGTGGCTGTAACCGCACAATGTTGCTAAGTGACCCACCATCAACTCTGGCTATCCACCGCGTAAATAAATTTGTTTCATGAGATGCTCAATTTTAGAGTAGCTTAAATTTACGAGATATCTCGGATTTTGTCGCACCATCGAACCTCTTGCAACCGGACAAATTAATAAAATAAATTCAAACAAATATTTTTTTTAGTAACAAATTCATAATATATGATCGAGAGGAGAATATAACAGAATTTATAGTCCAGCCTTTCAGTCATTAAGTGGAAATAAGAGTGAAATAATTCATCTTAGTAGTGTTTCCAAATCATTTAAATCTGTAAGTACATGTTTCACTAAACGGTTTATATAACACATGATGAAGTTTAACTTTACCCAGCTTTACATTTTATCCATATGTGAACAGTCCATATCCATCTCTGCCTCTCGTAATCATCCATCCAAATGGAATAGCTTTCTTCCACCACTTTAACCCATACATTCAAAGAGACCAAGAAAGAAAAAGGGAAGAAGAAAAATGATGTCTTAGTATCTCTTTTTCATATTATATCACAATCTGAAAACTAATTGCTCATGTGTTTTTTTTAACTTTTGGACATCCAATTTTGAGAATCATTTCGTGGAAGTCAAGCCTAGGTGATGGTTGTGGTCGGTCCAAAATGGTTACATGTCACGTGGTTCATGTCCTTTGGGTCCATTCTTCCTAATCATCAAAACTTTGATTATTTTTGTCCACTTTATATAAAGTCCTTGCTTCTTGCTTAAATAACTCCAAGTCAATTATATGTAGTTTCCGAAAGCTTTCAGTCCAATCTGTAGTTTCTTTAATATAACCAAAATACTTTATTCAATCTTTTACTAACAAAATTTCGTTAAAGACCTTTATATAAGTTCTACTCGCAGCGAATAAGTGAATATGTTTATGTTGGAGAGAATTGGGAAAAGTACGAATATATCTTGTGTTTGGGATATGATTCGTGTTAATTTTACAGTCAGTATACATTTTCTATAGACTTCACAAACGAAGTCAATCCGATTTTTACCAATATATCAAACTAAAATATATGAAAAGGTGATTTTAATTAGATTAGATCAATGAAATTTTGTTGAATTAAAGGAAAAGTTGTAATTTGGTAAAGGTATTCCTAACGAAACAACAAACCAAAAGAAAAAAAAAACCAACTTCTTTGAACCAAACCTAAATAAAGCTGAAGCATCCATGCCAAATTTCGATTATTCTTTACCACACTTCGATCAATCCACATGTTGATGCTCTCAATATAATAATTGAAAATAACATAAAACGAAAGCAAGACATTGGCAAAAGAACCACTACCACTCCCACTCCCACAACTACCACATTTCAGTTTCAGGCTTTCTTTCACCTTTCTCTTTCTCAACAAATATAAAGCGAAACTACTTTACTTTGTTTAATCAAATCATTATTACTAAAACTTTATTGAAAAAAAAATAGATAAAAAAATGCATGTGAAGAGAAAAAGAATTGAATGCAAAAGATGGAATAGACATGTCGTGCCACGCAAAAGAAATACCACCATGCATGCAACCATATTTATGGTTCGGGATGGATATTTTTTTCCACGAATTTTGTGGAGGTTTGTTTGTGGGAGGAACATCGTAGATGTTGGATTTCTAATGAGCATGAATATGTGGTTCAAAGCGAATATATTTCGACTCCACTTGCATGTGGTCGTTCTTGCAACAATAACATGGTTAGGACGAACTCACATGGT